GGTCGGACCTGCCCTCCGGCCCCAGCCAGGAGCAGCTGGAGGTAACCGAGGGGCCGCCGGTGCCCTTCCCCTTCCCCATCACCCCAGGGGGGTCCCCCTGTTTTGCCCCTACATGTGGTTCCCAGGGCTGTTTGCTGTTGAAGTGTCCCCTGGAGACACCTCCGTTGGGGAGCATCACCCGGTGGGATGCAGGCTGTCCCCAAGCAGCGGCATCCAACCGATGCTGCCACCTTGCTTCTTCCAAGCCCTGTTTTGCAGCAACCCTATGGGACCCCCAGAGCGTATTTGGGCATCTCTACCCAGGCAGGCACAATCTGCCCATGAGCCCATCCCCATTCCTTCCCTCTGGGGACTGGCATGGGCTGACCCTGGGGCCATGCCCCGTCTCCCCCCAGGGTGACTCACCGGGGACCGCGGCACCCTCTGGCCGGGGCCATGCATCCCCCAGCCCAGGGCAGCTCTCTGGCCGTGCTGCCTCCATCCGCAGGAAGCTCCAGACCTCAGGTGGGTGGTGGGGCACCGTGGTCCCACTCTGCACTCCTCTGCCTGGCCGGGGTCCCTCCATCAGAGGAGGCTCCCGCCGCCAGCCTTGTCCCAGCCAGACACTGGCAGGCAAAGCCTGTGTGGTGTAGGGAGCTAGTTGATTTGTAATCACCTCATTAACTAATGGCTAATTAGCCATCAGGAGCCTGGTAAGCACTTCCCCAAGAGCACCCTGGTGCAAAGCCGCTGTGGGCAGCTCGGGGTGTGCAGGGGGGGCGATGGTGCAGGGCACTGGCAGTGCCCTTGGGCTGAACTTCTCTCCCCTTCGATTTCAGCCTGAATTAGGGGCAGCCAGGGCTGCCAGGTGAGTGCCTGCGGCCGGGAGCCGGTGGAGGGCTCTGCTTCAGCCCCGCTTCCCAGGCAGGGCAGGGGTGTGCTGGGCAGTGCCGCTCGCGGGGATGCTCATGGGGATGCTTGCGGTACCAGCTCAACGCAGCACCTGCTGAAATGCCACTGGATGGGGCTGGGGCAGCAATGGCCCTGTCCCCTGCCCGGTGTGACCCACATGTGTCTCCATCCCCAGGGAAGCTGAGGCCGGTCCCCGTGTGACAAGTGCCAGCCCTGGCACCAAACCCACTGCAGGAACCAGCCCCTCATGGTGCTACCAAGAGCTGGCTGCTGGAAGACATGAAGGCTTCTGTGCCATACCCTTGCCCACCAGGACCCATGACCAGAGGGTGATGGCACCTCTCACCATGAGCAGCATGGGGCTGAGCTCTCCCAGCAGCCAGACCCCTCTCTTAGCGGGGGGGGGCAGGCAGTGGTGCTGGGCAGGGATCTGCCCCCTCAGACGCTCAGCTCTGACTTATTTTTGCTGGACAGCTGTTTTTAGCCAGAGTGGGGAGCTGCTGGGTGCTCCCTTCGTCTTTCCAGCTTTAACAACAGTCAAGGTATCTGTCTGGAGGGGACTTGGAGCCAGGTGAACCCCTGGACATGTCTCTGCTATCGCCATGGGGCCAGCCTGGCCGCAGCTCCCCCAAGACTGCATCCAGACTAGCTGCCTGATGTCTTTCAGAGCAGTGCTTCCTCCATTTTAAGCCAGAAAAAAAAATCCCAGCAGCTCCTTTCCCTGTAGGTTTCTCAAGCCCTGTTGTTGCATGAAGGCACACCAGTGCCGTGCATGAGCCGAGCTGCCATTCATCTTGGTGCCAGTGCTGCCAGGGCCCCGCACCGGCTGCCCTGGCACAGAGGGAGAACGGTCGCAGGGCTGCCTGTGTTACACAGCACTAGGGTGGATTTAGCAGTCTCGAAGCTATTGTAAAGTTATTTACCAGTTGTCTTGTCAAGAGAGATCACAGTGTGGTCAAGATGAAAGTGTTTGAAATATTTACCTGTTTACATGGTCTTGGAATGGAAAACAAGTTGAAAACAAACAAAAAAACCCGCACCAACCTCCAGCCCAAAAGCCTGTTGGATTATGTGTTGGGACAGTGGCTTGCAGGTGGGGTCGGAGGAGATGGCACTGCGCCTTGCACCGCTGAGCACCCACCCATGGGTAGGCTTCCTCCTGCCGCAAATAACTGACTGGATGATGCACTGATGGCTCCTTCCCACCACAGCCCTCTCCTCTCACTCTTCCACAGTGTACTCTATTTAAAAAAAAAAAAAAGGGGGAAAAATAAATTTAGCCTTTTGTAAGATTAGATGTTTCTATGTATTTTAATAATTAAAAAAAAAAATCCTGTTTTGTAACAAAACTTATTTTAAATAAACTGTTAAAGCCAGTCCTCCTGTGCTGCTCTTATTTCCCTCCAGCAGGTTTGAGCCCTGCTCAGACTGGTGCTCCCTCCCCATTGCTGCTTGCACAGCATCTCTCCACAGCTGGAAAAGACCATTAACTCCCTCCTTCCACAAGCCTGCCAGCACAGCCCCCACCCCCCAGTTTGCAGCTATGGAACTCCCTTAATTAGCAGGAGATTGAGTTGTTAAACCCTAAGTAAACCCCAGCACTGCAGCATCTTGCTTCATCTCATGCTTCTCCCAGCTCTGTGGGCTGGAGGAGCTTTTTTCCAGGCATAGGATTATCACCAGAGAGCTGCAGTGCAGGCAGGACACACATAGTGAGTTTTGGGGTGCTCGCAGCAGGCAGCATCTTCAGCCCCGGTCCTGCGATGGCCTCTTGCTGCGTGAGCCACCATGAGAGCCACCTCCTCCAGAACCATGGAGCAGAGCAGGATGCTCCCCTTTGGTCCTAAAACTTGATTGTGTTTGGATGAAGGTAAGGGTTGGCTTTAGCTTTCCTGTTGGCCCCACTATAGACTCCCACATCCCCAAACACCAGCACCTGGGTCAGCTCACAGAAAGAAAACCACATAGGCAAGGCACTGCCACCACACCAAGATCTGCTAGAAATTGAGTGGGGAGGAGATCTGCATCAGGCCAGGGAGAAGTACAAGCTGCAAACAATGACGTTGCTCTTTGGGCTGGGAACTACCCAGCAGAGTGAAACCTCCCCCAGGGTTTCAGCAAGCCACCTGACTACTGCTGTCTCTCTGCCTCGCTCACCACATCCACTTACTCACTGCAGCCTCCCAGCAGGGTGAGAATGGCCAGCTTCCCCATAGGACACGCAGGGACCAGAGCCCTGCTTTCCCTGGACGCTCCCAGCCAGGAGCTGTGCCAAGGTGAACTAACAGTACTACTTCAAGAGATTCAGGCATTTAACACAACTTTTTTTAAAAAGTTACAAATCTTTTAATAAAATTTATTTATCATAAGTTACAGTTTCCTGGAGAACAGGCTCCAGCGTATAAAATGGGAGACAGGCTGGGAGGTGCTGGGGAAGCACCAACAGGAACCTCTTTCCCAACAGGAAAGAAGAAAGAGGGACAGAAAGGTTCTGACAGACATTTATTGGGAAAAAAAAACCCCCTCAAGATCAGTCCAGTGGATATAGAAAGACATTAGTCCATGTCCCTCCACCCTCCCAAATCCCTACCCCCAAAGGCAAACACATACGTTAAGTCCTGTTTAAGTCACATATTTTAACAGATCCAGGTAGACCTCAGTTCTCAGCAACAGTCTGAAGATAATCATCTTCTGCAGCCCAGGGTGCCAGCAGGGATTTCTGAGAAGCCAAGAGACAGCCTCCTCTCAATACAGGTCCTTAGGACTACACACCAGGCATGGTGGCACAGTGTCCTGGCTCATGTTTGATGAAGCAAGCCAAAGGGGCCAGTCCCACACAGCAGTTGAAGTCCCTTCTGTAGGGAAAGGGCACTCCACCCCCCAGCAGGCTTTTGTGGGGTGGATGCTGCAGTCCTCAGCGTGCCACTCAGAGCAGGGCCAGCTGGCCCCAGCCCACAGAGCCAAGCGACAAGAACTGACAGCACACATAGGTGAAGGAGGGGTGACAGCAGTCTCAGAGCCCTCCCATCAGGGAAAGGGCAGCACACAGAGACAGAGCAGCTGAGAGCTCAGATGAAGAGCTGAAATGAAGCTGCTTCCCTACAGGGGCTTTGCAGGGCCCACCAACAGCCAGGTCCCCTCACACAGCACAGATGTCTCTCCACTCAGGTCCTCCATCCAGCCCGTAAGGCACCAGGGCTGGGCAGGCGACCAGCCAGTGAGATTCCACTTCCCTACCGTGCTGTGGGGGGGAAGATTGACACACAGAGAGAGGTGAAATCCAGCTGCGCCAAGAGCAGAGGGGAGCTTGGCCACCTGTGTTTGCACGGGAGGAGGTGATGGCTGTCACTCCAAGACAGCCATGAGGAGATGCAGTTCCCGGAAGGCACTACCATGGCGGCCACTGAGCCCAGACTTGTTCTTGACAATGTTGCTGATGTTTTTCAGCTGCTTGTAGCACAGCTTGCATTTATGGAGCCTGCAAAAAACAGACAGCAGACACAGCATGAATCCTCAGCTGCTGAAGAGATGTGGTTGTTCCTGTAGCGCCAAAGATGCAACTCAAGCAGGAGAGAAAACACAAGCCCTGCAAGTGGCCTGGAAGAGGCTGGAACATGAGCGTGGCTCTGCAGAAACACCATGTATTCAGCCCACATCCTGATGACACAGGAGAATGGCATCCCCATAAGGGCTCTTTCACTCCTCTTCTCCCCTTTGGCAGTAAAGTCCAAGGAGGGAGGAGGTGCTGGTTTCAGAGTGCCAGTTCTCAGAGCAGAGCTATCCTGTGAATAAACTGGAAATCCAGGGCCTGGCTGACAACTCATGTGTCTTGTGAGGTAGAGGGTGAAGCCACAGGGTGGTTTTACTCCTGACATAATCACACTTTGTTGAGGTATGACTCAATACACAGTGACAGAGGGAAAAGCAGTCCTTGGTCTTTTTCTCAGAGCAGGAGGGTTTGGTGTTTGCAGACAAAAGGGAAGGCATGCCCAGTCTAGTATCACGAGGAGCAAAGCTCACCCAAGAGAAAGGCTGGTTCAAAAAGGAAGCAAGTGGAGGTAAGTGCCTCACCTTTCCTCTCTGGTGATGTCCACTCCAACAGAAGGTGGTGCAGCGAGGATGTCTGTGATCAGTGGCAGGAATCTCTGGAGAATGAGTTTCAGGGAGGTGCAGCCAGTCTGCACATAACTGAAAAACAAACAGAGAATTGGGTCCCACTTGAATTTCATTCCTGTCCCCCCAGCACATAGTCCTCACTCACATCCAGTCACTGGGGATAATCTACTCAAACGACCCCCACTCCACCATGTGGAACCTGGTAAGGAGAGCAACAGCCAAGTACCAACACGATCTTGGTTCACGTCAAGACTACAAAGTGAGCCCTTTTGAAAGGTCCTGGCACATACCCTGCAGAGTGGGACCTTTCAGCTCAAGAGCAGAGATGTCCTGCCGAGGGAACTTGGCAGAAGCCTTTCTCCCAGTAGGAAGGCAGAAACTCCATCTTAAGAGAGAGGCTGCATTTTTTGCCACCTAATGATGAGGTTCAAAGCAGTCTTCCAAGTGACCCCAAGGCTGTTGCAGGACTTCATTCTGCTTGTCCCAAGCTGACAGTTTCATTCCCATCAGTGCACAGAGCCCACTTGTTTCACATCGATTTGACCCCTCCTGGCTGCCAGAGCTGCTTTCTGTCCAACACACCTACGCCAAATCTCAACATCCTGCTCTTCTTGCCCATGCATACTTTCTATCTTTTCCCACACACACTTGGCAGCTCCATTGCTCTTTTCCAGGCATCGTATCAGCATTATACTGTATCTGCTGTGATTTTTCAGGATTTTCTTTCAGCTACAAAATACCCAGTGGAACTCTCCTATGAATATCCACACCTTGTCCCTCAAGCACATCCACGTTCTTGGGGCCTCACCTTTCATATTTACTTTGGAGTAGTTTTTCTATCTGTGGCAGGATAATAGTACACAAATCCAGCTTCCAGAGAGACCTGAAAAGAAAAGGACGTGTTCTGAGACCAGAGACTGAGACTTTACAAGGCTGAGTCGACATAAATAACGCTTTCTGGCAAAAAAGCCCAGGCAGTGACACTCAAGTTTACTGAGCAAGTTCACTGACTCCCCCTTGTGATAGAAAGTGGCACGTTCTGACATATTTTATTGAATCTCAGCACAATCACTTTATGAAGCCCC